CACGGAAATTCCCTAGCATTCCAGTTAAGTTTAAAGTCTAAGTTCCTTCCCTTTTATACCTGATCTTTATTTCTTCAGATGATTTATTATGAATATCGTGACATTTACATTTAAATATCTCCATTAAATATTAAACACTTATATTTAAATTTATTTATTGAGTGGCGAACCCTAATTTCAATAATTAATATTTATAAATAAAAAAAATAAAATAGTACCTTAAGAGTTTAAAGCTAGCAATAACAATATTTATAATTTGAAAACCCGTCAAGTGATATCATCGATAAATTTATACCTTATTACCACGAATTGAATACGATCCATTAAATATATAAATAATAAATATAAATAATATTGTCCTGCAAGATAAGACACACTTGATTCGTCATCGTCACGTTTAAAATTAGACTGCTCAACTTAACTCAACCCGATAGTTGTGTGCATTTTTTTTTTTAACTCATCAACTGCATGTCTGTTGTACAACATAATTATTATAGTTTATATTTAAATTTAAATATGAGTATTTTGAGGATAAGAGCGCACTTGGTTCAAATTAAATGCAGCTTGTTAGCAAAAGTGCATCCTCGAAAGCGCGGGCGTTGCTCTGAAAAAAAAAAAAAAAAAAAAAAAAAAAAAAATATTAATGTGAAAAATTGCAATAATTTAAGTCTTGGAAACAAAAACTAACTTTGTTATTTTGATATTTATTTTATAGCTGGCATCTCTAGACGGTCTGCACAGTGGTGTGCCCACGAGGACGACGCCTACACTGACACCGACGACCCTCCGCACTATCGAGCAGACGTTCCTCGAATTAACGAGCGAGTCAGCGTCCCACAGTCGCGAGGCCGGTTTCGTTCCTCCTTTGGTTGAGCCGTCCCAGCCGACGCCGGCTCAGACCCAGAACAACAGCTTAATCACCGGGCAGAGCACCCATAATCATCACCATCACTCTGTGCTACTGGAGAATCAGCAGAGCAGACCCCAGCAGCAGGCCCGCAGAAACATGGGCGGCAGGAGACCCACCAGGACGATCGGCATGTCCCCTGAGGAGGAAGAACGGCGGCAGGTTCGCAGGGAGAGGAATAAAATGGCTGCTGCTAGGTGTCGCAAACGAAGAATGGATCACACCAATTCCCTACTAGAAGTAAGTTTACTTAATTTGGATATAAACTTTTTTTTTTTAATTAATTTTTAGTTTTTATTTTACAGACTTTTTGATCCAGCTTATAAATTCTAAATATTTTGACTAAAAAATTTATTAAGAATCATTTTAATTTTTTTTTTTTTATTCGTTATTATTGAAAGAAGCCAGATTATTTTTTTTCACTTGAAAAATTAAATTTTTTATGAAATAGAAATTTAATACAAAAGCGCATTGATAGAAAATTGACTTGATTTAAAAGAAAAATTTTTTTAACAAAAAATATAATTTTGAAATGTTTGATTTAATTTAAGAATTTTTTTATTTGATTAAAAATTATCAAATTTTTTAAAGTAATACACTGAAAAAAAAAATTAATTTGATTCGAGAGGAAAATTCTTGAACCAAGAAAATAATTTTGAAGTAAAAATTTCTTAGTTTAAAAATTTTTTTACTCAAATGAAGAAGATGAAGTTCTTCAAAATTATATACTTGGTTCAAGAACATTTTTTTTTTCTGTGTATATTCTTGGTTCAATAATTGTTCTTTTAAATTAAGTTAATTTTTTTATCAGTCTAGGAAATATACTGATAAATAATTGATCAAATGTAGAAGCATTTTTTTTTTGAAAATTTTAAATGTTTCTAATAAATTTTGGTTGAATTTTAAATTTAAAAAATGACAAAAAACTAGATTATACTTTGGAGTAAACGAAAAATCTAAATATAAATATAAATTGAGGTTTTTTTTAAAAAATAACTCCGGAAACAGCGCCTAAAACTTTTGATGAATATTAAGGTAAAAAACCCTGTTATTGACACTTTCAATTTTATTATAATTAAAAAAAAAAAGGAAAAGCCGACTCCAATAAATTAATAAATATAATTTGTGAATTATAAATTTTTAGATAATTGGTTTTTTCAAAAAATTTTATTTTTTGAATTGAAATAAAATTGCAACTGTCAAACAACTAGGCCAGTGTCAATAACTGGGTCTTTTACCTTATAATAATTATTTAAATTTAGATAATTGGTTTTTTCAAAAAATTTTATTTTTTGAATTGAAATAAAATTGCAACTGTCAAACAACTAGGCCAGTGTCAATAACTGGGTCTTTTACCTTATAATAATTATTTAAATTTTTATAACTTGACAAAATTTAATTTTATCATTGTAATTTAAATGCTCCATCTTGAAAAATTAAAATTAAAAAAAAAAGTATGATTACCTTTGATGAAGATCTTAAATATTTAGAATTTTTAAGAAATTAAAAAGCCTAAAAAATTTAAAATATTGTGTAAAGAAATTTTAATTAAATTAATATTTCTGTTTAAGCAAGTATGAATTAATTAAGCAAATTTTGTATAATATAATTATTTATTATTTAATACTAATAAGCCTGAATTTTTTTTTAGGAAACTGAGGGTTTGGAAAAGAAAAAACAAACACTCCAAAATGAAATCTCGCAGCTCCAACAAGCAAAAGACGACCTGGAATTTCTGCTAGAAAACCACCGAGCAGTATGCCGACTGGGCTCATCCTCGCCTCCTGACGTAAAACCCGTGATAAAAGCCGAGTCATACATCGACAACAGCCCATTCCTCCACCCGAACAAATGCGATTCCCTGGACACCAGACCGAATCGCCCGAACTCCCTGCAAGTCGGTTCTGACAACAACAACCGACCAACTTCATTGCCGATATTTGCCGCTAATGGACCCAAAGACCGGCCAGAGCCCCTGCAATTCAAGACCGTCGAGACGCCCTCATTCATGAAGACTTCGAATGAAGTTGCCGGAGTCCCAATAACGACACCCTCCAGCGGTATTCCATTCAACTTCGACTCTCTGATGGACGGTGGCACCGGGTTGACCCCAGTGTCCACGCCGCTGATTCCCTCTTGCTCCTCGCAACAGAGAAACAATCTGTCCGCCGTTGATCTCAGCTCTCCGGACGCAAATCCACCTAAACTTGTCAGCTTGTGACGCCAGGAGGAACTCGACTATACCTGCAATGAACATGAACCGGCGTAAAGTTATTAAAAAAAATTTATTTATTTGTAATTACACAAAATAATTACCCGTCAGTAATTATTTACTGACAATCTTTTTCTATTGAGTTTTAATTTTTATTTTACTACTGTACTGTATTGATCATTTTATTATTGATTATAATTATGATTATTAATTAATGTCACCTTTTTTTGGTTCATATTCTTGGGAGTTTTTTTTTTTTACCACGACGACATCGAACGAGTTGCTACTTCTTTGCGTCACAAACATCACAAGTTGCCATAAATGTATTTTTGTCGTTCTCGTCATCAGGACAAGAACGGCTGTATTTAATTAATATTAAATATTATTACTATTAATACAATACGTCTTTTTAATTTAAGGAAATATATTATAATAATATTAATAATAATAATTATTCTAAGAGTAAATTATTATTACTATTATTATTATAATAATAATAATAAACGAGCAAAGTTTTTTAAATTTGTCTTTCTTATGATAATGTAATATTTTTAAACAATTGTGAAATTTAAAACGCGTTTTTTTTACAATTGTTATTTGACGTCTTTTTGTACTACGAAATATTTTGAATAAACTTGTGCTCTTAAATTTTAAAAATTTATTCTTAAAAAAAAAAAAATTTTTTTTTTTTCAAGTTTTTAAAAAACTCTAACTTGCAAAAGTCAAAAGTTAATTTTTTTTTTTTTAATAAAAAAATTACCCAAGGCACAAAACATTTTTTGGTAATATTTTTTTAAATTTAAATTGACAATTAATTAATTAACAATTAATTTTTAACTTGTTAAATAAAATTTACCAAAAAATCAACAATTTTTAATATAATGCTTGGGTAGTACTTGCGTTAAAAAAAATTGTTATAATTAAAAATAAATTTTTGTAAGGCTAAAATAAGTCTTTTGAAAATGTACAAGTACATTTATAAAATAAAAAATTTTGAACAAAATTTTTCTACTTATATATTTTCTACGCAAGAGTTTGCGATCAATTTTAAAATATCTAGAATTATTGATATATATATATTTACATAATATCGTATTAAACGATAGTTTAGTCTTTTTATATTGATAATTAATTGTTAAAAAAAAATAACAAAGACAATTTATTAAGCTCAAGCTGTATCGACTAAGCCATCGAATTATTTCTTAATAAATAAATAGATACGCAAGTCACTTGTATTGATAAAATAATTTTTTAAAAGGCAATTAATTCCCGAGTGCCTGCTCAATTTGATAAAAAAAATTTTAATCTAAGCTCACGACAATATCTTGAATGTAAACAATTTTTTAGTGGAAAAACACTCAAGTCATTCTTAGAAAAAAAAAAAAAAAAATTAAAATTGACATTTGCCATTTACCATTGAACCTTGTCTATTTAAAAATATTTAATTAGCGAGTTTTATACTAGAATAATATTTTAAAATAAATAGTTTGTAATCCCTCCAAGTAATTAAACAAATATAAATATATTTTATAGTGTAAAATTTTGCATGAGCTCCAGCAATATTAATATATATATATATATATATACATTTATATTTATATAAGATGTGATAATTTGTCAAACTCAATTTATAAAAAAATTTCTATAATTACTTGCTCTTGTATTTTACTTGATTATGTAATAATAATAATATTTAAATACAATCCACGATGCAATATATTTTTAGTCAAAATAAAAGTCATACAATTATATAGAAAATTTCAATGTTTAATTATTTATTTTTCCATTTACGTATAATTATTTAATAGATATTTAATTATTCATTACATATAAAAAATAATCAATTATTATTTACAATAAATAAACAAATATATTTTTTAATTAAAATCCGGTAATTTGTTTGATAGCTTGTTGCTCTTCAACTGACCCCATACTTTGATAGCTCTCAAATTCAGATGAAAAACTTCCATTGCCTGAAGTTATTATCCTTAGGGTGGTCGAGTATCCAAGTAATTCACTTAATGGTACCAAGGCTCTAAGTACCTATTAATTAATTAAATCAATTGATTAACCCTCCAATTTATTAGCAATATTAATAAAAATAATAAAATAACAATTACTTTATACTGCCCACGAACAGTAACTTCTTGTATTTGCGCTCTTCGTTTTCCGAGGTCCCCCATCACTCTAGAAGAATATTCCTCGGGCATAACAACTTCCAATTTCATTATCGGCTCCAATAAAATGATCCCCGACTGTTCTAACATCTATAAATAATTCCTTTGATTAATAAAAAATATCTCAATAACAAAAACAAATAAATTACCAATATTATTGAGAGAATAAGAAAAATTTTGTTTTCAGAATAATCATATGATAAAATCGGTTATTTTAGTGTCATTGTAAAGGTCACAAAATATTTGTTAAATTACCCTGTACTTTCTTAACTATTGACGTTTTTAAAGATATGGGCTCATTTTGATGTTACACTTATCAAGACCTTTCATTTGAGTACCCACATCAATTTTTCATATATTTAATGAAAGCTCTTGATAAGTGTAACATCGAAATGAGCTTATATCTTTAAAAACGTCAATAGTTAAGAAAATACAGGGCATTTTAACAAATGTCTTGTAAACTATTGACATTTTTAAAGATATAAGCTCATCCCAATGTTACACTCATCGAGACCTTTCATTTGAGTACCCACATGCATTTTGATATATATTTATATACATATATATATATATATATATAAATATATAAAATATATGAAAAATTGATGTGGGTACTCAAATGAAAGGTCTTGATGAGTGTAATATCGGGATGATCTTATATCTTTAAAACCTTCAATATTTAAAAAAGTACCGTGCAATTTAACAAAATTCATTATTTAGTAAAACAAAATTTTATTTATTTATAGTTCACAAGTCACATAGTGACTGCAAAGTTGCTAATTTTTATTACCTTTCGTATACACTGAGCAATAGCTGATGAAATCATAGTATCAGAAGTCCCTCTCCCGACCTCCAGCCAGTGTAACTTAACACCCACATCAATCAAAGGACAGCCCAACTTAGGTCCATGATTAAGTGCCATCTTGACGCCTTTTTTAACCGCGGCCATAACCTTAGGATGAATATCCGCAATATTAGAAGCGCATTCCTTAGTCTTATCAAACAACAATATCTCCTTGCCTTCATAATTAGGAATCAACGACAAAGTGACATTAACATCATGATTAGTAGTTCCTATTTTGTGATGCGAGACAAGCGTGTCCTTGATGCCTTGAGTGATAGTTTCCTTATAAGCGATTTGCAGCGGGCCGAGATCAACGTCGATCTTGTACTCAGTCTTAATTCTCTCTTTAATTATATCAATATGAAGCTCGCCCATTCCTCCCAGAACAGTCTGACCGGTCTCTTCATTCAGAGTGACCCGAAGACTCGGGTCCTCCCTCTCCAACTCCTTGAGCGCATTTTCCAGAGGAACTTGAGCCGACAACGAAGGCGGCTCAATCGAACAGAAGAATACGGGATCAGGAATTTTTCCAGCTGAAAAAAATTTATCTTTTTCTACTTCATCAAGATTCTTTATTTTAGCAGCAACATTCTTCGCTCGGCTCACCACCGTCGGGCTGCTGGTCAGCAAGTCTCCAGTGATGGTAAATTTGCATCCAGCCAGTCCTCCGATGTTTCCTTCAGTCACCTCATCAATTTCTTCATAATCATCAGCATAAGCTGCGTAGAGTCTGCTACCTTGCTCATATTTTTCTCTAGTTGCGTTGTAGACCTTCTGGTTCTTTTTTAAACTTCCCGAGTAGACTCGGAAAAAAGTTATCGGCCCACGCTGCTTGTCATGCATGATTTTAAACGCCCTGGCTGATAAATTGTCCTCAAAGCAGCGATACAAGCTCGCTTTTTTATGAAGATCTGGAGAGGGTAAGTAAAAAATGATCGCGTCCATCAAAGGCTGGACTCCGATATTTTTATAAGAGCTCCCTAGAAGAACTGGGATGCCTTTACGCTTGATAGTGCTGCTTCTTAACGAGTCAGCTATCACCTGGGTTGGTATGTCATCCAGCGAATCCTGTTCAATAATAAAATTAGCAAGTCCATCATCAATTGTCGACAACTTGTCTACCAACAATCGGCGCTTTTCTCTAGCCCGCTCCAGCAGAAAACTATCTTCTGCTTCTGTTAATTTTTGACGAAGAAGTTTCGTACCTTGGGAAGTCTTGTCGAAGATTATCTTCTCCAAGGTCAGCAGGTCTAGAATCCCAACAAAGCCATTGTCATTTTTAATCGGAAGCTGCACTGGTAGGGCAGTTACTTCAAACTTGGACTCCAAGGACTCGAGACACATGTGGAAGTTCGCGTCAGCTCGGTCCATTTTGTTGACATAGACCAAACGGGGAATACTGTATTTATCAGCCTGCTTCCAGACTGTCCTTGTTTGAGCCTCTACGCCTGCGGAACCGTCGAGAATCACCACTGCTCCGTCTAACACTCCTAAGGTCTGCTCGACCCCCATTGTGAAGTCAATGTGCCCTGGTGTGTCGATTAAATTGAATCTATGGTCTTTCCAATTGAAAGTCACTGCTGCTGATACTATCGTTATGCCTCGCTGACGCTCTTGCTCCATATAGTCGGTCACCGTGTTACCGTCGTGGACTTCACCCATATTTTTTATGCTTCCTGAATAGTAAAGCATTCTTTCCGTAGTTGTTGTTTTTCCTGAAAAATTAATTATGTAAATAAATTAAATCTCAAACATTAAATGATTAAAAAATTTATTTTTACTCATTTTTTCAATAAAGAAAATTCTAAAAATTTTTAAATGTCGGCTAACTTTATTTTCATGATATCAAGATGATAATAAAGTTAGCTGATATTTTTAGATTTGTAATTTAGCTTCATTTATTAAATTAAAACTAAAAATTATTTTTTTTTTTTAATTGCACTTGTAGTTTTAATTAATTTTTTACAAACAAAATTAAAAAAAATTTTGTAATTTTTTCAAAAAACAAAAATTCTAAAAATTTTTAGATGTCGGCTAACTAATACTATAATCCGACGTTTTTAATTTTTTCATTTATTAAATTAGAACTAAAAAATATTTTTAAAAAATTGCACTTATAGTTTTTTAAGTTTTTTACAAATTAAATTTTTTTTTCTTTTTTGTAATAATTTTTTCAATAAAAAAAAATTTTTTTAATTTTCATCGACTAACTTTATTTTCATGGCATCAAGATTTAAGTATAACTTGTAAAATAAATGATACTGAAATGATTATAAAATATTTTCAAAAATTCGCATTTAGTTTTTGAAAATTTCTACAAGTGGAATTTTTTTATTCATTATTTAATTGTTATAAAAATAATTAGATATCTGCTAAATTACGTATAATGTAAAATATTTTTCTTTATTTACCTGCATCGATATGAGCCATGATCCCAATATTTCGTATCTTTGATACTCGACATTTTTCATCACCTTTTGACAGATCCTTAGAATAATATCTTACGCGAAATTTACACCAACTTAATTTATTACCGAGGTTACGTATCAACATTTTTATTTATTATTTATTTATACCCTTTTTTCATCACATCAGTCCTCAATTAATATACGTAATTTCTAATGGCGGAGGTATCACGTGTTTGCCGCAAAAAAATTTAAACTTTAATTTTAAGTAAGTATTTTCTTTTTTTCTTCTTCTTTTAAAATTTATGTACTTTCTCATTTCTTATTTAAATTAAATAAATTAAATAATAACACAAATAATCATCACAAAAAATTACAAATTATCATTAAATAAAAATAAATAATCGCTTAATTAGCGATTCTTTTTAATTTATGAACGACTCTTCTTAGCCGTTTGTGTGAATAAAAGATACAAAATAAGTACAAAACACACACTAAGTAAAACATGATTAAATATTGAAATAACTGATTAAAAAATATTAAAATCAGTTGTCACTGGTTAAATAAATTTAGTTTGATAAATTTTTATTATCAACAATGGTTAATTTACTTATTATTGATTATTGAATAAATTATCTAAAATTTAAGTACCGATAAGTACACACGTACAAACAATTTGATCGTCAAACTCTAAATGAATAACGCTCTCGCTCTGATGCACTGCTGCGGGCATAGCAGACTTGTCAGAGCTCACGTGTACGTGCTGAAAGTCACGTACACATTTTCTGTTAATATTATTATTATTATTATTCATTACTATCTGATTGTAATTGTTATTATTATTATTCTGGGTGGTGAGTAGTGTAGACCCTAACTGGCTTTCATTTGACCTGGAACTTACAACTGGAGATGGAAAGGCTGCCTGTGATTGGCTGAGAGAGTAACGGAATAATGATACTGAAGTTAGCTATCTTAATATCAGCTGTTAATTTTTAAAATTTTTTTAACAAATCAAATTTTCCACTAATAGTTTTTTTTTTTTATTTTCCACATGTGGAAATTTTTATTAAATTTTTAATTAATTAATATCTGTCAATTTCAGTGTCATTAATCAAAACAGCTGATGAAAATAAATTATAGATAAAGTTGCAAAAATTTATGCAATAATTTATAAAAATTTCCAAATTATTATTATTATTATTATATTAACAGGTATATTAAATTATATTAAAGTCAGCTGTTATTTAATCATTTTTTAATTTTATTTAATAATAAAATTTGTTCTAAAAAATTATTATTAAAAAATTGCATTTTTAATTTATTAAATTTTCTAAATGTCAATTTTTTTATGCAGTAATTTATTTATTAGAAAAATTATTAAATATCTGCTAAAGTAATGACATTGTAAATTATTTATAAATCAGTCAGCTGATTCTAAAAATAAAAAGCAATTGCTTAAAAAAGAATTTATAAAATAATAAAATAATTTTTTAACCATCAATTGTTAATTTTTAATAAAAGTAATTAATTGTCAGATTGTTATTTTGACAGATGACGTATGACACTGGAGTTGACAGATATTACAAATTATTATAGAATTTTATAATGAAAATTAATTTAGCAGATATTTAATAATTTTATAATAAATAAATTATGGCATAAAAAAATTGACATGTAAAAATTTTTTGGAACTAATTCTTTTAATAAATAAAGTTAAAAAATTGTTAAGTGACTGCTATTAACTTTAATATCATAATTTTATAGCAATTAAATTATTAAAAAAATTAATTAAAAAATCCCACATGTAAAAATTAATAAAAATTATAAGTGAATATTTTTAGAAGCATTTTTTTATATGATGATAATTTTAGCAGATATTTAATAATTTTTAGAATTTTTCTTAACGAATAAATTATGGCAAAAAAAAAAAATATAAAAAAAATTGACATGTAGAAATTAAAAATGCAATTTTTTATAATACTGAAGTTAGCCGTCAGCTGTCAATTTTAAAAATTTTTATAAAAAATCAGTTACTGTAAAAAAATGCTTCTAAAAATTTTCACTTGTAATTTTTATTAATTTTCACATGTGAAATTTTTTAATTAAATTTTTTTTATAATAATTCAATTGCCATAAAATTCTAAGAATATTTTTTATGTCTGTAAACTTCAGTTTCATAATTTTTTAAAAATAATTTTTTTGTTAAAAAATTCTCTAGTGACTGCTAACTTTAATGTCATTTTTTTTTTATATATTGCAATTGATTTATTAAAATTTTTAAAATTGACAGCTGACGGCTAACTTCAGTATTATTCTAACGTCACTCTAAAAGTCCATGTAAACGCAGCTTAATGTTAGTATTGATTGTCGCCAATGAAACAGAAGCTTAAGACATCAATGACACGTAGAATGATTGGCGAGTGGTGTGTGTGAGTGTGTGTGTGTGTGTGTCTCGCGCTGGGACTGGACGTTTTGAGAATTGTCACCGCCAATCCCCCACCTGATTGGTCGATACTGGCTTATGGACTTGGACATTTAACCAGCAAGGTATATAATATACACTTACAATATTAAACAGGAGATATAATATATATCCATCAGCATCGACCACACCAGACCGCACCACCACTTTACATCCACATTGATCTCTGTCAACGTCGCATCGACACACAAGGAGACCTTTTAAACAAATAAAACAGTTGGTGTTATCTTATATATTAATGATTAAACCAGTCTCCTGATGTTATTCGTCGCAGCGCAACGTCAGAATACTTGTCAGTAGCCTTAACATTTAATCAGCCTCATTGAATTAATCACTCCTTGAGACTTGAACCTCACTTGAGTAAAAAGAACAAAGCCAACAACAGGTGCCAGCTTGAGAGCTCAGTATTGTTTGGATTTGGATTTTATTGACCAGTTTAGCAGCAACCAGGACTCACAAGAAACAATGGCAGCTTACGGGGTCAGGAACGCAGCTATCACCACTATATTATTCGACCTGGACAACACGCTTATTGAAACAAGAAAGGGCGACAGTTTAGCTTGTAAAAAGGTACAGAGTGTATTTTTTTAAAGTATTCATTTTTCCTCAGCCATTATTTATTTTATTATTTTATTTCATTTGTTTATTTTAGTCCTTTTTTTAATTTTTAAGTAGAATGACTATTTAAAAATTTTAAATAATCTAGCAAAATATAGTGTGCGTGGAAACCAATAATCCAGCATATCGCAATACATTAAACCTTGAAGAGAAGTAGACGAAAGGGCGCGAGAGGTCATGTCATGTCGTCAGCAACTTCACGATCATGTGCGCACAATACAAAGCAGGCAGTAACCTCGTGTGTTTACTACTTTGGTAATTTATTATAACAAATGCGATAAAAATTACATTTTTTCGTTTTAATACTTTAATATAAATTTTTTTTTTTTATTTATTTTTTTTTTAACAATTTGCAATAATTATAATTGTAATTATTGGAACAATTGAGTGATCAAAATACGGTTTAAAAAAATATTTACTTGAATATTTTAACGTTGATCAATCACTAAATAAAAGTGCGCGTGTTTTTGCTCTTGACGTTTGTTTCAACGTGGTTAGTTAAATATATATGTGTGTAAACTAGTGAGGTTATATTCAATACAGAATTTACTTTTGCCACGGAGAATTCGGCAACGACTAAACCAGCAGAGAGAGAGTAGAAAGCACTCAGAGTGGTCCAGCAAAAGATCTACATTTTATATTTACTAAAATAGAACACTGTAATACGAGACGACTTCCTGATATAGCTGTTTCTTGTTAAACCAACCACGTCGATCCGTCGGAGGACTATTTTCGACGGAACAACCTAAACTCAATCTCAATAGTATAGATAAGGAAACACGGCTAGTTAGTCGCTCAAGAGGAATAATACTTCTTTTGGAGGTTAAATCAGTGCGAGTACTTTTTATAAAATAAAAAAAGTCATTTTTTAGATTTATTTTCGTCCTCCTGCTGATACATCTTGGGTGAGTGCGACTGTTATTTTTAACCATACGACTAAGTACGTCGTGAGAATTATTAACCTCCTCAGTTGAGAGAAATACCAGCGAGGTTTCAGTCGAGAATCTCTCAGATTTTTCACTAAATATTTTTATTAATATAAATAATTTTTGTTCTATTTTAATTAAAATTGAAGATAAAAAATTTGGATTTTTGTGAGTGCAAGTAAAAAAAAATTGTAGTTTTTTTTTTTTTTTTTTTTTTTTTGTGATAAGACAATTGATAAATTTGAGTATTAAAGGACAAGGCTAAAACGTATGTCGTTGGGAGTGATGCCAATTGACTTTGGATCTATTTTAATTGAATGCGAAAGTGTGAAAATTATTTCACTTTTATTAAGTGGTATCAGCAGTTAAACTCCAACAAGAGACTTTCAATTGATTTTCACATTAATTATAATAATAATAAAATTATTATTACTATATTTTAACTAAAATAACAGTCTTAAATTAAAATAATTAAAATAAAATCAAGATGAGTATTCCAAAAAACGTGGAAGAATGCGTGAACGCTTTAAAAAAAGCGACGAGCGATTCAGCAAAGTTCGGAGCGGTTTTTATGGTGACAAAATTAGTCAAGAGTGATGATTGCAGAGCGGAGGACTACAAGCTGATCTTCGAAGCCATAGGCTCTAAATTTCTGCGAAGATTAATGGTAAGCAACGACGTACCCGCCGGGTGTCCACCGGACATCTACAGATCAATTGCATTTTCAATCTTAACAGCTTTTTGCAACGAACCGGAGCTAGCTCAGCACCCGGACATGATATCCCACGTTCCAGCGCTGCTAGAAATAATTTCACAAATTACCGACGACACTTCCGACGACATGCTGATAATCGTAAGCCAAGCTTACACCTGCTTGCAAAACATCGCGCAATTTCCAGCTGGACAAAAGGCGCTCTTAGAGCAGGGAGCAATTCCCAAGATGTGTGAAATTTACTCCGAGCAGAGTTTCCAGACCGACCAGGCCTTGAACATCCTGGTGACTTTAGTCAATCATCTGGGCCCTGAAGCCTGGGACCCGGTTGACACCGCGCCGTTCCACGCGATCCTCAACAAAATCGCCGTCGATTTCGAGACCGATCACTCGGAAAGGAAATTTGAGCTGTGCGGAATTCTCCAAGCTTTGATAGCTTCCTGCCGCAAGGACGCGGTCGTAGACACTTGCAAGGAAGAAACCTGGCCTCAGAGTTTGTACAAAGGACTCTTTGATATTCTCGGTTCAAAAATTGGAAAGAACCAGCGAGACCCGGCTTTGAAATTAGCCTCAACTGTGCTTGAATTATTTGGAGCTGAATGGGCGCTGATGGACGAAGAAAAACCCAAGGCATTCTTTTTATTATTGATCCAATTAGCGTGCATTGAAGTTAGGATGCAGCTCGAGGGTAAGCAGCTTAAATCAGTCCTTCAAAATGCCGATTTGATAACAGCTTGCTTCGTTATTCTGGAGGTTTCTCTGCAATACATAACTACAGACCAGTTAGACTTGGAGCAGAAAGAAAAACAATCTTTGTACACTGCGCTTAAAGGAGCTTTTTCGGCAGTAATTGGTCTCCTTACATCCGTCTCAAAAATGAAGGAACTAACTGATATTAAAGAGAAAGTATTTGTCTGCGCTATGGTCAGAGTTTTGGCTGCCTGGTTGGTTCAAGATACATCTGCAATGCGGCCGCAAGTCTACGCAGTTCTTCCCTACATGCTTACCGTCGCCAAAGACACTTTCTACGCGTTCAGAAACAGAAAACTAGCTGAAAAATTGAAGGCTAACAAGCCTGAAGACTCATCATCGTCCTCTGAGCCGGTTGTTCATGATCCTCTTAGTGAAGTAGATGTCCTGCGAGTTCTCCTACCGGCGCTGTGCCACCTGGCGGTCGAGGAAGACGCTAGGAAAATTATGCTCAAGCACAAGCAGGAGGAAATACTCTTTGACTGTCTCTCCTACCACTGGACGGTCGTTCAGAACAAAAAACCTCCTGTTCCGAGATCAGAACGGCTCAAGGCTATCAAAGAACCCCAGAAAGAAATAGAGCCGAGGATTTTGGAGGAAATGAAGGACTCACGCGCTGCTATGGTGTCCATTTGCAACGTTTTAATGAACATCACTGTCCTGGAAGCTAAGCTTGTTGAGCAATCGCAGACTTTCATCGCTTTGCTCAAGTTTATCTTTGATAACTTGCCGATTGTCAAGCAGACCAGCGAGAATCTGGTCCTTCATGGTCATCTGGCTGTCTTGGGGCTGCTGCTGCTTAAACAGCAGGCTAAACTTGCTAAGAAAAATGATTATAGTATCACTGGGTTTATCAGAGCTACTATTAGGTTCCTCTGGGACGCCTATATTGTTGATGAAAGCAGCAATTCTAGTGAATTGGTCGTTTCTATTTCTTACAAAGAACACTGGATGGAAATTATGGAGCTCTGGTTCCTCGGCATGCAGACCATGGCTAGTGTTCTCCAGCAGATTCCCTGGCTCGCGGAATTTGCTATTGAATCAGGATGGGTTCAAGGCATCATTGATCTACTCAAGAAGGTCAAGATTGGATCTCTTCCTCCGAATGTCAAGTCTGCTTATGAAGATCTTCTTTGTCATCTGGTCAAAGCTGACTCCAAGGTTTCGACTGAGCTTAAGAAATACGACGCGCTTACTGTCTGCAGAAATCACCGTATGATGGAGTTGGGAAAAAGTTTATTTGGAGATTAAAATTTGTTTTTTTTTTCTTTGAGATAATTTTTTCACACTGGCTTTTGAAATGTTTTAATTAGCTAGTGATTATTTTATAAACTAGCATTTATAATTATAATTATAAATTTAAACAATTTTTATTAATATTATTGTTATTAATTAATTAAGAAGATTAACTAAGATAGTTTTTATTATCAGCCGATTCTAATTCTTGAAGAATTAATAATTTTTCTTGACCATATTTTATGACACTGAAGTTAGCAGACTAAAAATTTTTGATTTTTTTTTTTTTTTAATTAAATTACAACTAAAAAGATATTTCTAAAAAATTGCACTTATAGTTTTTCAAGTGTTTTAAACGTGAATTTTTTTTTTGAATAAATTTTTAAATGTCAGCTAACTTCATTTTCATAGTATTTTATCGGTATGAGGTCTTAAAATATCAGAGAAAATTTTTGGTGAAAATAGAACAATTAAAATTCAGCAGCTCAATTTCAAAACACAGTAACTAATATTTAGAAATTTTTTAAAATTTTTCTTATTAAAAAAAATTTTGCCTGGCAAATTGATAAAAAATTTGATTTATGAATAGAAAATACTTGAGTATAAATATTTTTAAGAAAAAATACTTGAAATTAAGGTCTAAAAGTTATAAATAAAAACTGCAGCAATATTAAAAAAAAAATTTTGTGTTTTAAAATTGGGCAGCCGAATTTATTTCGAAAATTTTTTGTTAGAGAACACAGTAACTAATATTTAGAGATTTTTTAAAATTTTTCTTATTAAAAAAAAATTTTTGCCTGGCAAATTGATAAAAAATTTGATTTATGAATAGAAAATACTTGAGTATAAATATTTTTAAGAAAAAATACTTGAAATTAAGGTCTAAAAGTTATAAATAAAAACTGCAGCAATATTAAAAAAAAAATTTTGTGTTTTAAAATTGGGCAGCCGAATTTATTTCGAAAATTTTTTGTTAGAGAATGTGTAAAGATGTAATTTTTTTTTTTCATTTACTGAAAAAAGTCACACTAAGTAAAAAATTATATCTTTACACATTTTCTAACAAAAAATTGTCGAAATAAATTTTAATTGTTGTATTTTCACCTAAAATTTTTTCTGATTGTATGAGACCTCATACCAATAAAATATTATGGTGAAGAAATAATAATAAAAAATTATTCATTCTTCAAGAGTTACAATCGGGTACATCGGCTGATAATAATAATTATCTTTGTTTATCTTCTTTATTAATTAAAAACACCGGTCTATAGAGTCATATATAAATACATTGTTATTAATATTAGTTTTGATTATTTTGTTTTGTAGAAATAATTGCAGGTCATATTTAACTATGTACATTGGTCATGTATATTTTAATAATGCATCACACCTAGAAATAGTTTCTGGCAAGTGAGATGAATCTAAAAATATTTTAATAATTTTTTTTTTAAATAATAAATCATAATATTTATTATTGAATATTTTTTGCAACTCTATCAGATAAAAAAATTCAACGACCTTCGTTAATTACTTTATCGAATAAAAAAAAAAAAAGAAAATAATATTTAGCTTCGTCTCAGCGGTGCTATTTTTATTTGTTTTTCCACTCTGGTGCGATTGAATATAAATAACCAAAGAGATACAAGATTTAAAATAAATATATTGTTTTAAAATAAAACAGAAAATGTACAATAAAAATTTCTTGTAAAAAAATAAAATAAAATAAAAGAAGAAGCTGGTAAAAAGCTGTAAGATTTGCAATTAAAAAAAAATGTTTTTTTCTAAAAAGTGTGTTAATTATTCCGTATTGATAATCCTGCCTATGTGTGCTATAAACAATTTAACATTGTTACTTAGACTTATTTGGAAGGAAATGGAAAGCAACTGCCAATTAAGTCTGTTGTTGGCACAACTGATTTTGTTGTGATTACAGCAGTGCCCGTGGGTGCGTCTTCAATGTGTGTCCAAATATATCGGCACGAGTAATATGAAAATGAGTCAGTGCAATTATTCTAGGTAATCATTAACAATGAATTAAGCGATCTTAATTTTAGTTATTATTTTATTTTTCATTCTACCGACTGATGAGCCCAATTTTAGACTGACAATTACAATTGCTACATTCAACAATTATATTTGCAATTTCATTTTTTTTATCTTGTATTCTTTTATTGATTTTTATTACTGCAACAATAATAATAAAAAATAAAAAATTTTTTAATAATTTTAATAAATTATTCTACTAATTTTTTTAGTAAATCATTTTTAATAAATTATTATTAATATTTTTTTTTAATAATTTTAATAAGTAATTATTAATAATTATTTTGATAATTTTTTAATAATTTCAATAAATTACTATGAATAATTATTTTAATAATTAAAATGGATATTTATGATAAAAATAAATAAGTCATTAAAAAAAAAGTATAATTAATTGAATGTAGCACTGTCTAAATTGTTCCCTCTTGACTCAACATGTAACCACCTATGATAACAAAGTGCCAATCAAACTAATCACTCTAATTGTTTTACCCGAGTAGCTTGCTGAGGAGTTGACTACGCAGTACAATGTTCCGCACGAAGCGTCGACAAAGATCACCAGCAGCTACTTAAAGCACTTCAGAAATTGTCCTGACAATCAGGCGTACGACCTGGACACCTGGAGAACCTCTCTCTGGTCGAAAGCTCTGGGTGAAAAGTACTCCTGCATCGCGGATAAAGTCTACGCAAGATGGTTGTACCTGCGGTACCGCTACCTCGCTCTGACACCCGATACCCAGTCGATGTTGATGGAGCTCAGGAAGAAGTACGCGCTTGGCTTGATAACCAACGGCTCTTCCAACGCCCAGTGGGAGAAAATTCGCCAGCTGGACATCTCTCGGTACTTCGACCTGATACTCGTGTCCGGTGATTTGCCCTGGGAGAAACCTGAGTCCAGGATCTTTCACGAAGCTTGTCGTATTCTCGGCGCGCTACCGAGTAATTGTATCATGGTCGGAGATAAATTGGAGACGGACATACTAGGTAATGTAAATTTATTTTCTTGAAGTTAGCCAGACGTCTGATAATTTTCTTATTTTTATAAATAAATTTTAAGTAAAAAATCCAATGTCTAAAAATTAAAAAAAAATTTTAATACTTGAAAAAATTTCTTAAACAAGTAAAAGCTTTTTTAAAAATTAATTTTTTTTTATCTATATAATTAAGGAGAATAAGGAAAAGTTTTCTCTGGTATATTTATATGATAAAATTATTTTTTAAAATTTAATTTAGTATCATTGGAAGGTCAAGATCTAAATTATCGCCTTTTCAATGTTTCATAAATAGTTAATTTATTATGATAAGTCTTCAAAGTAGTTATAAATAGATTCGACTTTCGCGAAAAGCAAAATTTTTTTATTTATTTATTTTATTTTGTACATGTCAATGTCGTAAATCAAAAATTAATTTATATGATTAAGAGACTAAGAAAAACTTTGTAACGGGTAAATTTTTATCGTAAATTTATTTTGATATTTTTTCAGCGATAGTCATTTATGATTTAAATTATTGAGAGAGTAAGCAAAATTTTTGACGAGCATATTATTATTTTAATAAGAATTTTTGTAGTTAAATTTAGTATCATCAGAAAGGTCTTGAAAAGAATTAATGCCCTTTGTCTTTATATATTTTTTAGTAGTCAATTTTTTATGTCAAGTTTTAGAAGGAATTTTTAATAATTTTTTGGTATTATAAATTTGTTCCCTCAAATTTGTCCTTTTAAATTATTCGTAATTAATTTTATGATAGCACTATTATTTTTAAAATTAATTTCAAAAGTACTTAAATGATATATAGTGTGATTATAAAGATAAAAAAATCATTAAGCTCGGCAGTCACATAAAGACTTAAGAATTAATTTTTTATGAAAATAAAAAAAAATTATCAAATGTCTGCTGATTTTATTATTATTTAAATTAAATTTATAAATAATTATGATTGTATTGAAATTCAGAGTATTTTAATTGAAATTGTTATTATTTTATTTTAGGTGGTGTTGAAAGTGGATTGGGTGGTACTGTTTGGTTGCCAATTTCAGACAAAACACGGCTGTCCGCGGATGATCCTAAGCCAGATTACACAATAAAGCGAGTAACTGATTTAATAAGTATTCTGAATCGTCGACCAGGCCCTCCGGAGCTTGAGGATTCGTCATCAAACGCTTCTGACGGCAGCTGATGAGAAAAATTGTACTTTGCGAGAAAAATTGTGCTCGCTCGTAAAAATATTCATCATTCACTTGTGAATACTTTGAATTTATATAAATATATATAATTATATTATATATATATATGATGATTAAGATGGATAACCAATAGCGAAGGATCAATAATTATTGCAGAGAAAAATCGTTGAGACGACTTGACAAAACAAAAAATAATTGATCTCTATCTTTAACTCTTTAACAACTGTATAGATGTAATCTAGACAACACAAACTAAATAATTAACTTACTAATACCTATATTTAAATATATATATATATATATATATATATATATACATATATATCTGGATGATGTACGGTTTGGGTGTGTATACTGGTTATACACACGCATGTTGATACACTATATTTTTTCACCATATATTTTATCGTTGTTTATTGATGCCTAGCATTGATTTCTCATGGACTCAATAAACTATTATTAAGTAATTACAAATGTAGTTATAGTTTATTATAATAATTGATAATGATTAATAATAATCAACAAATAGTACTGATTGATGGTGATAGAAGCTTATATCCAGAGCACTGTGTAATGTAATTAAATATTTTATCAATAAAAAATAGATCTAAGAAGAAATTTATTATTTTTATTATTATTTTAATGATAGACTCATTAAAAAAAAAAAACTTATACAAAAAAAATGTGAAAAAAAACTTTGGTAATTTTTTACAAGTGGGTTAACCCCATTTTGGGCCATAACTAGGTGAAAAATTAACATTTTCAAATTTTTTTTATTTTGCTTGTTTTTACGGCGCATTTATGATAAAAAATGTGAAAGAAAAAAATAAGATTTTTTGCTTTCAAAAGTTGGAAGAAATTTTGGCTCATGTTTTTTGGATAAATTTTTCTATTTTTATCTTTTTTTTTGATGTTTTTTGATATATTTTTTTTTAATTACATAAAAAAAATAACATTTTCAAATTTTTTTTATTTTGCTTGTTTTTACGGCGCATTTATGATAAAAAATGTGAAAGAAAAAAATAAGATTTTTTGCTTTCAAAAGTTGGAAGAAATTTTGGCTCATGTTTTTGGATAAATTTTCTATTTTATCTTTTTTTGATGTTTTTGATATATTTTTTTTTTGAAAAGTACACAAAAAAAAAAAAAAAAAAAATAAAATAAAAAAAAGAAGTTAAATAGGGTAGCAGTACCGTTTGTGGTCACTGTACCGTTAATGGCCATTTGTTGTTCATATAAACGATAGAAATTAATTTATATTAATAAACCATTACAAACTCAATTTGTTTTAATTAAAATTTTTTAAAACTCAACAAAAATATGGTTATAATATAATTTTTTATAAATTAATCCAAATGTTATAAAATTTGTTAAAATTGTAATAATCAACTTTTTTTTATAATTGTTCATTTTTTTATGTATTTAAAAAAAAAAAATCTATCAATAAAATGAAAATTAAAATGGTTGACCCCACTTGTAAATATTTACTAAAACTTTATTTAAAAAAATATTAAAAAAAAAGTATTTAATTTTTTTTTTTTAATAGTAAAAAAATATAATGTCATGTAAATTGGATAAACAATTTATTTAAAATTAATAATACAATTTTTTTACAGACATCTCGCATGATTTGCACAACGTGTTTATTTTTTTTTGAGGAAGATTAGGACAGACTGTTGCGCAGCCATGCAAATGCGAATCTTGAATTTGTACTTGCGTGTGCATTCGTTTTGAATTATAGTTTGTATGTGACGAACATATCTACAATAATAATAATAAAAAATACTAAAAAAACAATAATAATATTTAAATTTATGGTAATAATTATTTTAAATAATGACTTGTCTTTTTCTAGACTGTTTTGATTCAAGTTCCGGGACTTCCTTGTTAATCAACAATTCTCTGCGTGCGTCATCGCGGAAAAATTGAGCCTCTATTTTTATCTAGACGCGATAAAAAATTAAAAATGACAATTAAAAACAAGTTTTTTGTACACCAGATAAAAAATCCCACTAAGGAAGGATCAATTGTCATTTACGTCATCTTTGTCTTTGACCTCAGAAGAGTCTTCGACGTCTGAATAAGACTCAGCAATCGACTCCTGGTCAGTGTCTTGATTATTCGAGTCATAATTCGACGGCGACAATTGAAATTCACGGCCCGTAGATCCGTCCGCAGTAACGGAACTTTTAATTTCTTTGGTTCCACTTTTTTCCATGTCAAGAGAAAGTTTCGACGTGACGTCTAGGCCTCCTTCGCCTGGGCCTCTTACTGCAGGAAACGAAAGTCGAGTCACTCGTGACGCACTTGAATCATCTAAAAAAGATAAAACGTAAACGAGTGTTTCAATATCGCTTTACTATCAATAATTCCAAGGATTTCTATAAACATTTATAAATTTTTTTTTTATATCCAACAAACCTGTTCCACTTTCCTCTTGGGAATTTTTTACCTCAACATCTTTATCTACCGATTCTCTGCTAGATAATTCAAATCTTTTCGTTCGTTGTTTAAATTTAATCGATTCTTCTTCTCGGAGGTTTATTTTTCTTGAATTTTTATTATCTTTTATTTTAACTTTAACTTCCGGGGCGCTTTTATTGGATTCTATTTTATTTCTACTATCCTTGAATTCCTTTTTTGGGCAATAACATCTCTTGGGATTTAATTTTGTTTGATTGATCATTTTTTCCATCTGTTTTTTCTTCGCTGAAATGCTGGATAATATCTCACAAGGTGATTTATTTCTCAGTCTGAAGCAATTTTAAACAGAAATTTAATTTAACAAAAGAAAAAGATAAAAATAAAATTAAACAAAAAAAAAAATTAGTAATTATTGACAAGTGGAGTCAACCCTATTTTTGGCCATAACTAGGTAAAAAATTAACATTTCAACAATTAACATTTTTTTTTTAGTCTGCTTGTTTTTATGGCGAGTTTATAATTGAAAATGTCGTGAAAGAAAAAAATTAAGATTTTGATAGCTTCTTTACCTTAAAAACTTGGAAAAAATTTTGGCTCTCATGTATTTGGATAAAATTTCTATTTTATCTTTTTTTGATATTTAAAAAAAATTTTTTTTTTTTTAATTGTTCATTTATTTTATGTATTAAAAAAAAATCTACCAATAAAATCAAATAGAAATTTCGTTCAAAAAAATGAAAATTAAAATGGTGGACCTCACTTGTAATTATTTACCAAAATTTTAATTTTTAATATAAATTTGTACAAATATTTTTTTTTTTTTATATTAACATTTTGATTGATAATTTTGTAACTAAAAAAACTGAAAATTTTTATGCTTTTTTTAACAAAAAAATTATTATTTTATTATTATAAAAAAGTAATTTAGTTTTTAATTTAAGTTCGTACAAATTTATTATAAAATAATCTAATTATAATTAATTATTCATAAAATACATGACAATTTTATTTTCAAATTGGACAACAGAATAAAAAAGATTTCATTAGTTTTTTTGTCTTCAAAAGTTGGAAAAAATTTTGGCTCATGTTTTTGGACAAAATATCTATTTTATCTTTTTTGATATATATTTTTTTAAAAAGTACATAAAAAAACGAACAATTTAAAAAAGAAAAAGTTGAATACCACAATTTTATAAAATTTTTTTGAAAATGTGTTAAAATTGTGAAAATCAACTTTTTTTTTTTTTTTAATTGTTCATTTTTTTATGTATTTTTCTAAAAAAAAAAAATATCAATAAAATCAAATCGAAATTTCGTTCAAAAAAATGAAAATTAAAATGATTGAGACCATTTGTAAATATTTACCATTATATTTAACAAAAAAAAAATAAAAATAAAATTTTTTTACCTTGATTTACAAAAACATTCTTTAGCTTTTGTTTTACTTCCATCATTTTGTACCGTAGATAAATTTTTTTTCGAACAGAAACACAGAGGAGGTTGTATCTTCAAAGAATCGTCGGTGGAAGTAAACAATTGGATTTGGCTTCCATTGAAATCTCTCTTTGAAGTCTCTCCACATCTAATATCGTATTGGTACTGAGTATGAAGCTGATGTTGATGATAATCGTTTGGCTGGGTGGACCGGCTACGGAATCCTTGGGTCCTGGTCGAGGAAGCGATAGGAGAAATCCCCGCATCCTTTCTCCTTGCGTGCACCTGGCCGATCGTTTTTCTGAATCAACGTAATCTGGAGGATTTTTCTCAAAGGATTTTCTCGGGGACATTGTCAGAGAGACAGATGGAAATACGGATTCACCAGGCATACAATAACTAAATAAAATAAATCTAAGACAATACTTTACCATTTGCAATGTATGCAAATCTTTGCTCCTCTTCAGCAAACGCTTGTAAACCCTGTGCGCTTGATCTGGATCGATATTCATCTCCATAAGGGTCGCCAGTACGTCCCTTTCCGTGATTAATAACTCCGGATTTGCGTCAACTAGCACGACAGTATTTCTACCGCTGTGAGGAGATTTACTGTACGCTTCTTTCAGTTCCTCTGGATTCATCAATTTATCAGTCATCTTGTTTTCGTCTAATATTTTTGGCGGAGTCGGCGGCTTCAGCGGTGATACTGATAAATATTTTTGGGATTTTATAAATTTTTCTATTCTTTCTTCCTCGTCTTCGTCATAATGGTCGACTATGTTCAATGATAATTTTAATTGATACAATTCGTACATCATTTTGTTCTGAAATAATTAATCATTAATAATTTATTAATTATGAATAAATCTGTGTTAATTTATGATGATAAGTATTTAGGCTACATTCGAAAATGGTCTATCTCTAGATAGATAATTAAGAAATTACCTTGTATCTTGTGAACTATTGACATTTTTAAAGATATAAGCTCATCTCGATGTTGCACTCATCGAGACCTTTCATTTGAGTACCCACATCAATTTTTCATATATTTATATATATTCTATATATGTATATATGAAAAATATATCAAAATGCATGTGGGTACTTAAATGAAAGCTCTTGATCAGGGTAACATCGGGAGGAGCTTATATCTTAAAAAATGTCAATAACTAAGAACTGACTTTGCTATCTTGTCAACTACTGATATTTTTGAAGATATAAGCTCATCCTGATGTTACACTCATTGAGATCTTTCATTTGAGTACCCACATCAATTTTTCATATATTCATATATATTCTATATATGTATATATGAAAAATATATCAAAAATGCATGTGAGTACTCAAATGAAAGCTCTTGATGAGTGTAACATCGGGATGAGCTTATATCTTAAAAAATGTCAATAATTAATAATTTACAGTGCAATTTAACAAAAATCATTATTTAACAAAGTAAAATTTTATTTATTTATATTCCATAAGTCACTGCAGTCACATAGTGACTGCAAGGTTGCTAGTATATAATTATTAATTTTAATGTATGTCAATTTATTTCATTTCATTTGTAGTATTTGAACCAAAATCCGACGTAATTACCAGAATTATGTAAATAAATAATAAAATAATAAAGTTAAAAATAACTCTGAAATAGCCTGGCTTTTATTGTATTGAGATAATTAACCTGCTATTCAAATAATAATAAAAAAAATATTACCTTATCAAGTGTATCAGAATTTCTTTGAATATGCTTCTGAAAAACACTTCTAAGCTCTTCATCTTTATAATAACCATTCTGAACAATCTCTTGAGTAATATCGTATAAAAATTTCGAGTACTTAATTTCATCAGACACGTTAACTACTCTACAGGCTTCAATATCTCGTTTACGAGTACTTAATAATGAATTCTCGTTACTGCGGCTTGAAGCTGAGTCCTTGGAGGCTGCAGAATTACGCCGTGAATGTGAACCTTCTGAGGGTGATTCAAAACTTGATTCATACGCTGACCCGGCGTGATCGTTATCACCTTTACTTTTTGCTGACCTACTAACATCAATACCGTTTATTTTTTAACATTTATTATTATTATTATTATTATTATTATTATTAATCATCTATAAAAAGTGATATAAATAATATTAATTATTTTTTAAATAATAAAAATGATTTTTAATTATTTTGTTTTAGTCCAAAAAATGATTATTAGATTAACACCAAACTCTTTATCAAATCATTGTAAATTAATTAAAGATAAAAATTCTTATAATGCAAGATAAAAAAATTATATTAAAATCAATATTATATTGTAGATTTAGATGGTCAGGTAAAATAACTAATTAGAAAAAAAAATAATTATAAAAGTCTAACTAATTAATTAATTATTCTAAAATGTTATAAAAAATAGCAAGTTGCTAAATATGAAAAAAAAAAAATAAATTATGATTATTATTATTTGAAAAAAAATTAAAATACCTTGGAGACGAACGATTACTTGAATTAACACTATACTCATTACATTTTCCACCATAACAACCTTCTATTTCTTCATCATTATTTTCTTCCTCTAATTCCTGATTTTTGTCGTAATTTTTAGAGTTTCTTTTAGTAAAAGACCCAGGACGTGCCGAATGAAATGACAAACCAGATGAGTATCTTGGCCTTGATCTCGACAACGAGCGACCTCGTTCACTTTCTGAGGTCCGCGTTAAATTGGAACGCGCTTTCGGACAATCATCCTCCCAGACACTGCAAGCCGCGGGACATTTTTTGGGAGTTTTTGACCTGGTGTAATCAGTAACGCTGTAGCCCATTCTCAGGACATCCTGCATAATTAAATTAAAAAAATAGGAATTTTATTTTATTTAAAAAAAAAAAATAGAAAAATGAATAACCAGCGGATGATGTTCTGTGTCATAAGCAACTCTGTCAATAAACTCTTGCGGTGGACTTGGAATAAATTTAACTTTACCAGCAGATATACTCCTTTTTTTTAGCATATAACTCTCGTTTCTTGAATCAACTCTGCTTTTTGCCAATAAAACACGACGTAAATGCGCAGACATACGATTGTACGCCGCTAATTGTTCGAAATAACTTTCTCCTTTTTGATTGTAAACTAAAAAATAAAAATAAATAAAAAAGAGTAAATGTCAATCGATGAATAAGCAAACAAAAATAATAATTAAAAATAAATACTCACCAGAACTTTTTATATCGGAAGTCCGACAGCATGTTGTCATTTCAGCTTACCTTTTATTTTATTTTTTTTTTTTTTTTTTATTATTTTTATCGTTATTTTATATTTTAGCACCAATGAACTCTTAATGGAAACAAGTACAGCTGGATAACAGCCAAAATAATGTGCATGATGGACCAGTTATTTAAATTTATATTGCAGTTAATTGGTATGTCGAGGTGAATTTACCGAGTATGATGATTTAAGCCATTGTTTATACCTGCGAGTAATTTTGTTTACCCTCCTGTTGCCTAGCAACCCTCGACACGTGAGATTGATATGACACATCAGTTTTTAGCACGAATATACATTTTTTTTTTGTTGATAAATCTGAGTGTTATCCATTCATGCTTATAAATTAATTAATTAATTTAAAATTAATTAATTAGTTTAAAAAATTAATTAGAATAATTAATATAATAAATTAATTAGAATGATTAATTTAATAAATTGATTAAAAAAAAATTTTAATCTATAAATAAAATTAATTAATTAGTTTAAAATAATTAATTTAAAAAAAAATTCTAAACTAAAAATAAAATTAAATAAAAAAATTTACTTAATTATTTAAAAAAAAAAATTAATTAGTTTAAAAAATTAATTAAAATAATTAATTTAAAGAAAAATTTCTAATCTAAAAATAAAATTATTATTATTATTATTATTATTATTTTAAATAGAAACACAAATTTATCATTTTTTTATTTATGTTTATTAATATATTAAATTGTTAGTTTAATAAATAATACAAGTACAATAAACGATTACATTCATACCAGACATCCTTTTTATTATTGTTAACAAATAATTATTTATTAATAATAATAATAATAAATAATAATTCGCTAGCGATAATTTAAAAAAAAACAAAGGGTGTTTGGATAAAATAAAATCAACTAGAAATTTTTTTAATTTATTTATCATTTATCTTCGTACAGAGATGTAATTCTTTAATCATAATACAAAAATTAATTTTTATCAATAAAATTGAAATATTTAATTAAAAATATCATAAAAAAATTTTTTATTCGAAGATTTTTGGATTAATTTTATTTTTTACTTAAATTACAATTCGGCCAGCGGCCATTTTGTCGGCCGATATTTTTAATTAAATATTTAAAAAATTATTAAAATAATTAATAAATAATTAAAAAATTACGATTAGAGAATTACATCTAATAAATAAATAAATAAATAAGTACAAAGATAAATGAGAAAATATAAATATTTAATAATTAAATTTAACGCGTAAATTATCGCGCTGGATATGTACATTTCTATACTATTAGTTGTATATAGTATATATAGTATCAAGTTTTATGTATTTAACGATTTAATTATCATAAATACCAATATTAATAAATATATATTTATGTATAATATATATTTATCACTTGCATTTCATGAATATATACACGATATGCATCTACATAAGCTACAGTGACCACATTTCTGACGCGTAAACTGACGCTTATCAATATTGTAATTTAATAAATTAAAAGTACGTCAATTATGAGCATCAGAAAATTGTCATCGCGCGTACTCTAAGTACTTAATATTAATAACATCAATAAAAATTACCTCACTCTTTACACTATAATGTTACATAAATAAAAAACAGCTGCAGGTATTATTATTTCACTATTATGTATACCGTAATTGACTTTAACATCTTCCATTACTACGTCATCATCAATTCAATCGTTATTAGTTATTAGATTACATTACCGTATTGTAATTTCATTACATTATTTCTATTAAATAGTACAATAAATACTGACGCGAGCTATCGAATTATCGATAGTCTTTACTTTAGTAATTAATCGATAAAATTTAACCGCATAACCGTAATAACCGTAGGGATGAAAAATGACGATAATAAACGACAAGAAGAAATAAGAAATAAATAACCGCAGCCGTTAGGTGAAAAAGAGATCGATCATATAGATGCTGTCTGCTAGATTCTTCAATACTTGCTAAATAAATCTATTATTTATATACTTGAGGTTTAAATTATTCGCCAGACAATATAAGTACGTAATGCTAATAAGTAAGTTCTTCTCTCAGATGCTTTTATTTAAGCGGTACTGCTTTTTTAATGGTATTTTGTAGTGGAGTTGGTGACAGTGACGGTGACAGTGATGGCGATGGTGATGGTGATGCTTTGGGTGGTTTTACTCTAAAATGTTATTCTTGAAGATGACGTCAAGTGCGATCAATGTTTCTACTCAAGAGTCACGAAATAGTTTATGTCTGAGCAATTTCCTTCCCGGTGGAGTGACTCTCGCATAATTCTCTTGCAACCTCTATGTCCTTGTCATCTTTATCTGCACCGGATATCACATATACCGGTTGTTTGTCGTATGCCAAGTAACGCTCATCCGTTTCTTCTCCTTTCGGCGTACAATATCTTACTTTCATCTATATTTTAATTTTAAAACAAAGAATATTGTTAGTTTAAGGTGAATAAATTTTTTAAAGATAAATTTGTATGTTTAAATTAAATGATCATTTTTTTTTTATTTCATTTTACGATAATATGAAAAATTACTTTATTGAGTAAAGAAAAAAATTTTTTAATAACATAAATAAAATTTTGCTTTATAAAATAATGACTTTTGGTAAATTGCACTGTACTTTCTTAAATATTGACGTTTTTGAAGATATAAGCTCATTCCGGTGTCACACTCATCAAGAGCTTTCATTTGAGTACCCACATGCATTTTGATGTATTTTTCATATATTCGTATATATAAATATATGAAATATATGAAAAATTGATGTGGGTACTCAAATGAAAGGTCTTGATGAGTGTAATGTCGGGATGAGCATATATCTTCAAAAACGTCAATAGTTAAGAAAGTTCAGTGTAATTTAATAATAATCATATAGATTATTGATTTTTTTTTCGAAGAAGAAATATTTTTTTAATTAAAGTTAACAGATAAAATTCATACTATTATATATTAAAAAAAAAATAATTAAATAAAATCAAAATAAATTTTTTTTTTATTAAAAAAAAAAGAATAGTAATAAATAAAATTAAAATTGAACTAAATTTAACTCAAGTGATAATAATAATAAATTATTAAATAACTAATAGCACAATTATTATAATAAAGGTAATAATTTGTAACTGACCTTCCTACGATAAATAACGAATAAAATAATAAAACTGCAGATAATAATGGCACTTGTAGCGGCAAGAACGACGGTAGTAGTCTGATAAATTGGAGTTTCAGCGTCAGTGAATAGTTCCCGTTGTTCAAGAGCCATTATCTTGTCTTCAGCTTCAAAAGATAAGGGCCGATGGATAAATCTTGAAGTGGTAGCATCGGCAATGGATCCCAGCAGCGCTAAACTACGGCTGCGAGTTAGCTCCTCGAGATGGAAAGCCACATCAACTTTGTTGTCTCCGACTATTTCGAATCCAATTATCGCCGCGTCCAGGTCCAGCTCCACTGCAATTCCGTCCTTAATACTCGCGTTCAGATCACGCAGCAGGTCCGCGGTCGCCCGAGTGAACCGATTCGTGTCCTCATTTACAAAGTGTCCCGGAAAACGGAGCGTTACTTCTACCGCCTCCACTGCAGTCATTACTGAAATTTTAACAAATCACTGTTAAAAAATTACACGCTTTTTCATCTCTACAAATTACAATTAGCATTAACATCGCGCTTAACTATTTCCTTGTACAATTTCAATTTGCAATTCTCTTTTTCTCCGCCAACAATCACCAACAAATTTACATAACTCTTAAACTTTATTACCTCTCAAGTACTTTTTAAATTCATTCCATTTCAACATATTTTATCTTTATTTATTTATTTATTTTTATTAAGCACAAATGCCCTCTAATGGCTCTTGATTTTACACGAAATTTAATACTCAGAATTCAAACCACGGATTATTTATTTTTACAACTAAAAATAAAAAAAAATACATTATAAAGTCTGATTAAACGCAAGGATGAAAATTCTTTAGCTAAAATATAACGTATTGTATTATATATGAATTCATTAATTTAAATTACTCAGTGCACTCTCTGTATGCAGACATAAATTTATGTAAATATTCGGTTCTCTCGACTATAAAATATATTTCCACCGCCAAATAAATTTAATACATACATATTATTCTATATTTATTCCGCTAATATAAACTCGCTATAAATCAACCGTTTAATAAATATTTAACTTTTCAAAAAAAAAAAAAAAAAAAAATTGACTATGTATTTATTCTTTCAATCTCTTACATATTAAAACACTTTACAGATTCCTAAATCTCAAATTAGTCCAATATTTAAAATTAAAATCCGGTAAAAGCACCGTTTGTGAATACTATGCCGTTTTTAGACATTTGATGTCCAAATAATCGTATAAATAGCTTATAAACGTAATAACATAAATTAATTCCATGATTCTTAATCCCTGGACAAAATATCTCTAAAATAAATATCTCCAGATGAAATATCGTAAATAATTAAACTTTTCAATAAAACAATTCAAAATAATAAATTAAAAAAAAATTATCAATTTTATTTTAACACATTAATGGCATTTCAACAAATATTCGTAGCACGACTTTACAAAAATTTTAAATATTGGTTATTACGTTATTAGATAAAATTTGTCAACTACTACAAAAATGATCATGATTTAATTAACTGATAATTAACGAATACCACAAAATTAATTGTTACCAAAAAATTATAATATTTTTGAACATTGCAACTGTAATTTAACCCTCGGAGTACACACCTCCGAATAAAACTTTAGAGTGCATATGGGGTCAAATTGACCCCACGACTTTCGGGAAATTATATCTCAGAAACTATGCATTTTATCGGAATTCCGGTTTTTTACAATTTAGGTACACGGAACAAAGAAAACTTGAAAAATTACAGTATATAATGTAATATAGCGCTTCGTTATGAAAACTGGAAAAATTACAGTTTCAGATTGTAATTATTACAGATTTTATAAGAATTACATTGTAGAATGTAATATTTACATTGAAAGCTCTGAAAATAAAATTAAAAAATTGAATTTAGAAAAATGTTATTTCGAACTGTAATTTTTCTAGTTTTGATTACGACGGGACCGATTTTACATTTTATACTGTAATTATTCCTGTTTTCTTTTTTCCGTGTAGGTAAAAAAATGCTCTTTTGAATACAATCATTATTATTCTGAATTAAATAGTTTTTAATGTTGAAAAAATTATTTAAAAACGAACCTATTTTTGAGAAATATTTTAGGAAAAAAAAAAATTCTGGGGTCAAAATGACCTCCCGTGTACTTCGAGGGTTAAACGTGATTTTATGTGTGTTTATCTAAAAAAAAATACGCCGAAACATAAGCTTGTTACCATGTTGTTGTTGTGCCTTTTTATAATTGATTTTTTGTGTGTTTATTCGATAGTATTGATCCTTAAAAAGATTATTTATATATTTTGTCCGGAGATATTTTGTCGGGGGATCAAAAATCCTGATACTCATAAATTCTGTTTGTATGAATTTAAGTGTTAAAAAAACCCGATCAAAATACTAGTTCAAAATTCCAATTATCTGCAGAAAAATCAAATTTTAAATAAAAGTGTCCAAAACCTTTAATTCTACTCTAAATTTCCATAAAATTTTTATCTGCAAAAATAAACCAAATCTCAAGTACAAAAAAGTAAAACTAAAAAAAACAAATTGAAACTTACAGCACATTTGGGTGCCTTTGAAGAAGGGCTCAGAGCCAATAATTTGATTGCCAGCCTCGTCAACACACCAGCAAGTTTCTCCGGCACACTGTGTGGGCTCAAACTTTCCATCTACATCGCAAGTGGTCGGTACATGACCGCGCTCTTTCATCGCTTCGCATCTCGTTACGAGTAATTTCGCCACCGGCTTCTCCATCCTCTCCTCTTCAACATCAAGCTTAACCAGAGAGTTTTCCATGTACGCCGCGATTTCCGGATCTATTTCAATCAGAGAACTTTTGCCTCCCTTTCTCGCTTGTCTGAAGTTGCACTTGGGCTCTTCGCCGCGTACAAGCGAGCCTTTTACCGGTACTCCCTTTCTGTCGACGCACCAGCAGACCCCCACGTGCTCGAGACACTGTACAGACTCCCAGGCTCCAGTGTCTGCGTTGCATCTGGGCAGGAAGACGGATTTTTTCAGTCTCTGGGAGTTCTTCAGATTTCTCTCCCTCTGGAGCTCGCAGGGCGTCAAAACCGGGCAGACGTCATCGCAGACCAACTTGCTGGAGAAGTCATTGTGCCCGACCGAGCACCCGGTCTTTATCCTGCACTCGTTCAACTCCGGGTCGAAGTACCATCGCTCAGTATCGTTCATCCCCTTCTGTCTGGTCGGAGGACACTCGATGAGTCTCGGGGGCTCGAAACATACGTCCCGGGGCTTAGGGCAGCACACCGCGTATTCATCAAGCGGAGATAGCTCGCATTTGTGGGTGGTTGGGCAGTGCTGGCCGTGGGGACCGCAGATAGCTGGCAAACCTTCTTGGGTTAACAGAGGAGCTCCGTTGGGACAAGGGTTGTCCTTTTTAGGCAGACAGACCGGCACAGGGGGACATGGTGGCGCGCTACAGGCCACTTCTACCATCCTGCAAGCTTCGTTTTCTCCACGACAATTTACGGCCTTACACGGGTCCCGGCAAGAGCAACGCGGACACCCAGATGGATCTAAATCTAAACCATCTGGACAGTCCAGGTGGCATTCTATTGTTGGACAAGTCACCGGCTTTAAAAAATAAAGTTTTTTATTTATTACACTTTTTTTTTTATTTACAGTTGGATGCAGTCAAATTAAAATAAGTTTATTTTTTCGAAAATATTTATAATTGAAGATAACCAGTTTCTCGATTAATCAAAAATGAAGAGATACCCTTTTGAAACTCAACTCCTCAATTAAAAAAAATGTTTTTAGGGAAAATTTAATTGATTTTTTTTTCATTAAAAACGATAGTGATTTTTGTAAAATTTAACTTAACTTAATAATTTTTAAGTTAAAAATTTTTCCAAATTTTATGAAAAGATAATACTTTTACTCAGATTAAAATTTAAAACAAATTTGAATGAAATTTTTACAGCTTATAAAAAGTAAAAAAAAAAAATAATAACAATTTTGATTTTTTTTTAACAGTAAATTTTATATTTTAAGCTATGTATGTATTAGCTGGTAATCGGAAAAAATTTTAAAGTTATGAAAAATTCATATTATTTCATTAGAATTATTATAAGATAAAAATTATAATATCTACCCCCACAATTTTCCTGAAAAATAAGCACCCCCAGAATGATCGCTCCATTTTTTATTACAAAAAAAAAATATTATGATGATTATTATAATTTTTATTTTATAATAATTTTATGAAAAAATATGGCTGTATTTATGTGAAGTATAACTTTATGTATATAATTTTGCTATTCGGTTTCACGCTTTGGCTTTTAATCCTAATAAATAAATAAATAAGCTATTACTTCTTTCTGAAAAATTCGCGAGTAAATTGTTAGGCACTGTAATGATTTAATTTTCAAAATAAAATAAAACTTTAATTAAATTCTATTAAACTAATAATTTTTCGTTTTTTGAATTAATTAGTACAGAATTATAATGTCGACTATATTTACAATAAATTTTTTTTTACCTTAACTAATTAAAATTCAAACCTAATAAAATAATTTGATTTAGTTAATTTTATAAAATAAATTTAATTGTTAAAAAAAAATTATTAAATTACTTATTTTTTATACTTTTGACTGCATAAAATTTTTCAAAAAAAAAAAAATATCATTAAATACCTTATTGCACTTTGGAACCGCACCATCTGGAACTCTGGTACCAGCAGCTTCTCTTCCTTCTTCATCAACACACCAACAAGTTCCCAAATGGCATTGAACAGACTCAAAACTTCCTTTCTCATCGCATTGCGGAATATAAATCCTCCTGGCAGGTTCCCCAGACTCTCTAGCCGCGTGTTCAGCCAAAGTTCTGGCGTGTTGACAACCAGTGGCGACTACTGGCTCGACACAAGCAGTTCCGCAGCCAGTCGAGCAGCATTTTCGGTCATCGGAACATTCCTGGTCGTTGCTACAGTGGACTTCGCAGCTGGACGAACTAGGAACCAGGTAAGGACACTGGCCTTGCTTGACAGCTAAGCAAGCAGGGACTTGGGGGCAGCTCTGGCCTTCCCCGCAATTCACGTCGACCATCGAGCAGATTTCTCTCGGACCGCAGGATACTCCTTGGCAAGGATCTCGGCAGCGACACTGCTCACAGCCCGCGTCGTCAACTTCCCGGCCGTACGTGCATTGTATATCGCATTCCGGAGGCTCACATGTCTTACTCAAAGCACGTACTTCATCGCAGTCAACATCTGTTGTGGTGATATTTGTTCTTAGAGGTACTCCCTGCTCATTTACGCAGTCACAGCGCGAATCATGACACTGCAGCGACTTCCACGTGCCGTCTGAGGAACATTTTGGTGGAGGGATTGCTAATGACATCCCTTCTCGCGTTCCTTCCATGCGATTATTAAAGTCTCGTAAGTACTCGCACACTGTAATTATAATTTTATCTATTAATTATAACTAGGAACCTTGCAGTCACTGTGTGACTGCCGTGACTTGTGAAATATAAATAAATTAAATAATGACTTTTGTTAAATTGCACTGTCCTTTGTTAAATATTGACATTTTTTAAGATATAAGCTCATCCCGATGTTACACTCATCAAGAGCTTTCATTTGAGTACCCACATGCATTTTGATATATTTTTCATATATTCATATATATAAATATATAAAATATATGAAAAATTGATGTGGGTACTCAAATGAAAGGTCTCGATGAGTGTAATGTCAGAATGAGCTTATATCTTTGAAAATGTCAATATTTCTCAAGATACAAGGTCGTTTCTTACTTATGTTAAATTGCACTGTACTTTCTTAACTATTGACATTTTTTAAGATATAAGCTCATCCCGATGTTACACTCATCAAGAGCTTTCATTTGAATACCCACATGCATTTTCATATATTTTTCATATATTCATATATATAAATATATAAAATATATAAAAAATTGATGTGG